AAAAGTTTTATAAATAAAGATAAAAAAATCCTTTTTTTTTTCGGAAAATTCATTTTTGACTAGGTTTTTTTTAACATTTTAATTTGAAACTTCATATAGGGAGTTTTTCTGATCGTTAATTACTAATCCGATGATTAACAGATTTCCAAAATTCAAAATGACAGAAGCGAAATGCATAAATTGAGTTTTATAATTTTCAGAAATTCTTCCAAAATTCATTCATCCAAAATCCTTTCAAAAATCCATTTCAAAAATTTGGATCTCTAATTCATAATTAAAACTCTTCAAAGTTTTAGAATTCGAATTTCATACATTTATTTTAATTAAGAATTTTTAATCTATTATCTGTCATTTTGGATGCATTTTTATATTTTGACTTTGGATTCGTAATCAGCGACCTGAAAAACTTCTGTATACTAAATTTTACAGAAAAAGGTTGAAAAGAAAAATGTATATTTCAAAAAGACTTAAAATACCTATTGTAGATCCAGACTAACTGGTCAATTTCTTTTAAGGCTTAAAATCTATTGTATGTCCGGATTTAAGGTACATTGAAATTTAAGACTACAATCAAAATTTACGATATTAATATACTTATTCAGTTGCTACGAATTCAGGATCGGATACGTTTAATATCTATAATTTATCGTTTATGTAAACTTGAAGTTCTTTCATTTTTAAAGAAATGTTTGGGTCAGCTCCCAAACTATCTTACTTCGGGAGTTTGGGAGCTGATCTAAACTCTCAAGGTGAGGTAGTTTTTATGCGGAATATTAACCATTTTAGGTGGGAAGAAGTATTGTAATTGTTCCTATTGTTATTGTGTGACATTATTATGTGAAAAACCACATTTGCACAGCTGAAGTAGCGACAAATCCATGCGCTATCTTCCAAGCTTATGCTTCGAGTCGTATAGGCACTCTAAAGTCCCTATACTTTAATAGCGTTTTCAACTCGAGCGGATTTGTTCCCATTTGGATAATATTCCACTATTGGTTGACGTTACATATTCCACCAATAGGAGAGCATACAATGTCATTAATCCAATCTAAATTAGTGCAAACTTGCTTGGGTCGAATACACTATAAGTGCCATCTGTTCTCATGCGTGAATGGCGCATGGAGTGAAATGGAATGCCTTTCATGCTTTCCATGCACATCATGAGTGTAATGGAACACAGCCTATAAGTTAAAGTTAGAATTATTTTGACAGTTACACATTTTAAACTTATTTGTCAATTTACGGTTTTTTTCATCAACTCTGATTAACGTTAATCAATAGTTAACTCAATCATCACATTGCCAATGAACTAAATACAGTTTGTTTCAGAAAAGAAAGAAAGAGGAGAAGCTCTGATTAGAGAGAAATCTAAGAGAGGATTTGACGCTCAAAACCTGTAACCGCAAAATGCTGCCGCATACTACTGTCCTCTGACAAAGTGGATGTAAACTACATAGCAACATCCTATATGTAGCACAATTATATAAACCAAATATCGATTTATCATCTCCAGTCTTAAAAAATGGACGATATACTCTAAGAAAAGGACGTTGCCACAGTACAATATGAATATTGAATGTAATCTTTTTATGTAATCCTCAATTTTTAGTGCGCATGCGATTTCCAATCAGGAATGTGGCTGCCTTCAGCAAGTTGAAATTGCGGGTAAGGTTAAGTTAGCTTCTTTTTCCATAAAGTATAATTAATCCTTTCGCCTACAATATTGTGTGACACTCGTGGCAATTGGACCAAAAATGAGTATCTCAGGTGAGAATCATGATACGTCGTTCATACAAAGCTTAATTTTTTTTTAATTTGTAAGAGAAAAATATGGCAAAGGATTAATAAATTAAATCAAATTTTTTCGGAGACGCTATATTGTGTAGATTTTTGTATACGATAAAGTATTCTCGTAATAAAGTATGCGTGTATGCGTGCGTGCGTGCATGCGTGCGTATGTATGTATATTATTAAATTACTTCACATTTAATTA